GTGCCCAGGGCCCGGGGCAGCCGGGACGCCAGCGGGAGGAGTGAATTCCGAGCGGCGTGTTGGGGGAAGGGCAGTGACCCAAAATTCGTGGGCCTGGAGATCTGAAAAAAGGAGAAACGCCGGGCCAAAGGGAATGGAACAGAGCTCTTACCTCGGCAGAATACAAACGAGCTCCCTGCCGAGGAGGGAAACAAAATGTCACCACCTCGAACCTGAGGGATGCTCCGGGGGGGGGGGGCAGGCAGCCCCAGCACTGGACTGGCGACGCGACGCCCTTTAAAGGACAGGAGGGACTTCCAGGCAGAGTGCCAGGTGTCCTCGTGCTGCTAGAGTCCTACCTGTCCAGCGCCACCTGGGCAGGTGACAATTTGGGGGTGGGGGTGTGTGTGAGCTCTCCGCTTGCTGTAGTGCCAAGTATGGTTCCATCCAACCTAGAAAACCCGCCAGGGACGCCCGGCCCCGGGTCCGGACTGAAACAAGCAGGTGGCTGTCAGAGCCCGCGCTCCGGGCCACAGCCCAGAAGGGACAATGTGGCAGCTCTTCCAGAGGCCAAGGTGGCCCTGCGGGCTGTCCAACAAGAGCAAGACCTCGGCCGTGGCGAAGGGAGAGTGGCAAAGGGGGTCCAGCTTGGGAGGGTCCCCAGGGCCAGTCAGAACCTGGCGAGGATCCCCGGCCGGGCAGTCCGAGGCCGGCTCAGGGGAGCCGAGGGTCTCGCCCAGGAGCGCCCCGTGCTACAGCCGGAAGGGGGTCTCCCGCCGGCCCGCCCTCCTCCGCCGCCGCCGGGGGCTGGGAGGGGCTCCGGAGTCCGGGCGGGGACGCGGCCCGAGCGAAGGTCTGTGCGCTCCAGCGCCCTCTCCCTGCCGGGGGCTGCCCTGCGGACACCGGCCGGCCCGGGATCCCCAGCCTCTGCCCAGCCCCCGTCCTGGGTGCGGCCTCCACAGCCCAGGGTCACCCTCGTCCTGCTCACGGCCGGAGACGGGCCGTGTCATCGGTCACGCGCTCGCTGTGGCGGCGTCGGTGGGTTGCACGCCACCCCCAGAAGGGGCTTCCCAAGCACACCCGACCGTGGCGCCGTGGGAAACTCTGGCCCAAACTGTGGGTTGTCCCCGAATGACAGAGGGCTCTGAACAAAGGATCCGCTTACGACTCGACCGTCGTGGTCACTCGAGATAACGTTCGTCATCAGGATCACCGACTTGCGCAGAAAGAACAGAAGGAAAAGACGTCTCTATGGAATCAAACGCTTTTATTTGGAATAAGCATCAAGAAAATGAAGGGAGTTGCCTCATAAATGCAGGGGCTCAGAGTACTCAGCGAGAGGTCAGCAAATAATAAGAAAAATATTTTGCAGCAGATTAAAATAACTTGAAACTCCGATCACTGGCTATGAAATGTATCCACATGTAACCACACGGGAAATAAATGGTAAAATCTTCAGGCGATTTGCTCTCTTGGCTGCCCTGGTGGCAGGGGATCCAGCCCGCAGACCTCAGCGCTGCTCTGACCTCCAGTCCACCGGGGCGCCTGCCTAGTGGAGAGCAGGTCGTGCTCTGCCTGCTGGGCTCCCAAGGCCTCCCAGCGTCTCTGAGCCACCTGACAGGGGCTCGTGCTTCCAGCGAACGGGCTCCAGCACGGCCGGCGGTGGTCGCACAAGGCTTCACTGGGGCTGCAGCTGGCTCTTCAGTCTGGCAAGTCTCATGAGGCACCTGTCCCTCCACTCCCTCCTGGCAGCTAAGTGCTCCGGGTCATCTGGAACCTTCACGCACATGGCCTGGGAACAGGAAAGAAAAAGAACAGACAAGAGGGAAAAAGGGGAAAGAAGCATGAAGAGCAACTAACTTGGCAGGAGGGAAACTTCTCCTATTTATGCAAACTCTGAATTTGCTTTCAGAGACAAAAGAAGCCTGGCAAACCCTCAACTAATGTAACTTTCCAAATCCAGAGGGGCCGACGGTTCCTTCAGACGAGTCAAAATGACCTGCCAGTTCCTTGGTCACACCGCTCGGAGGGTCCCCTGAGACCCTGACGGGGCTATGGACAGTCAGGGACGTGGAACCTCAAAGTCAAGCCAAAGAGCCTGGCTACAAACGAATCCTTGCCTTCCACCGGCAGGGAGTCTACACACCTGGTGCACTTTTTCAGCTGCGGCCCCGGAAAACTCTGGAACGGGTCCAAAAGTCTTTAGGACACGTTTCATGCCCTCGCTGTACCTGCCACAGTAGCTTAACATACCTGGAAGCACAAGAAAACAAGGATGCCCAAGTCAGAGAACTCTTGTCTGCGGCCCAAACCAAGAATGTGTCCGGAGGGTGTTGCCCTGGGCTCACCCTCCCGTGGACGAAGCGGGGCTGCGGGTGGGAAAGGCACCCCTGTCAGCGGCCCTGGGCTCACTGCTCAAGCTTTTCTCGGTAATAAAGGCCCGAGAAGCAACCCGACCTCCAGGCCTGGGTCAGCGCCTCTCAGGGACGCTGGGTCGGCCCACGTTCCTGCTTTGATTCCTCGACTATCACATTAATGCTGTTTTCACCACAAGCGTCTCCTTCAACGATGTACCTATGAGGTTACTCGTGTACATGGCTCGAATGCATGTTCTAAGACCCAAAGATGTCAAGTTCAACTAAATCCGTTGCCCACTCCGCTCTTATCCCTGGATTCTACCTGGCACTTGACCCACCGGGCGGCGGCGGCCTTAACACGGGCTCTTCACCCCAGGGGCTGGCTAGGCCGCTGGGTTAGGGCGCCGCCAGCCACCTGCCCCGACCTGCATCTGAGCCCCGGCCACACGACTTCCCACTACGCCGGGCCCTCAATCGAAGATGGAGCCCTAGGATTCTGGTGGAGAAGCACATGGAGAAGAGGCTCATCCTGGCGTGGGGGGGGGGGGGGGAGCGCCGCACTTAGGAGCAGCGCGCGGGCTGCGTGGCAGAGGCCGACTCCAAGAGGAAGCCCGTCAGCTGCCCACACGCGGGGCGGGCTTGCCTGGACTCACCAATCGGCACACAGCGTGGCCCTCCCTCCCCCATCCCTCCCTCCTGCCCGCCGGGCAGGTCGCCTCGGGAGCCTGGCCCCGGAGCCGCTGAGCTGCGCTGGCCCTTTGCCAACCTCTCTCAAAACCAGGGAGACTCGGCAGTTGGTCAGTCAGGCTAAAAAGATAACAAGGGAACAAACAAAACTGCAGGATTTGCAGAGATCCAGAGCTGGGCCCTCACCGACCCCACGAAAACTGCGCGATTCATTTAAAATAAAAATGATCTCCGCTAGTTACGCCTTACAAAAGAAAAACAACTTCTGTGGGGTTGCTTTTGGTGCATCTACACTGATGTGAAAGCCTAAATTCGCTGATTTCAACTGCATTTGTCCCAAATCGTTTGCCTTCTCTCAGAGGGTGATAAAATGATACCCACTTTGTCTTAGAAGAGAAAGTGGTTCCAAGAGTGAGAATTCGAAAATGCAACGTCTCTGACGTTAGCACCTGCAATTAAGTGGTGGACGGTCCCTTTTAAGATGAGGGGTTTCACTGTGTTTACCAGAAGCACCAGGGGACGGTCCAGAGCTCATTATTTACTTCACTGTGACGATTTGTTGGTTTATTCAAACTCAAGGTGATAAAATCCAGACACAAATACAGCTGACTCGTGTTGGGGAAGCAGAGACGCTGAACCAAGTGAGCTGGAGACACTGAGTGAGAAAAGAGCAGGCAGATGTGCTGCAGCCGCGAACTCACCCACTTTCGGAGAAACAAGCTGCCCCGGCCCCCAACCCCCAGCAATGAGCCACGGGACTCGATTCAGGTGCCGTGTTTCACCTCTGGGTCACTTTACGTTTTCTGAACGAGTGTCCCTCTTTCACTGCCCCTGTGAAGTCATCTGAGTCTCCCAGGGGCTTTCTAGAATCTTTTTTTCCCTACTGCCTTTTATACAATTTGTAGTTTTAAAAGGGCTTTTATTTCTTCAGAACAGAATAAAATATGGTGAAACTCTTTACAGTTCATAACTTCTCCCCAACTTGTTCAGAAAACCAATTAAAACTTCAGTCTCATTAGCATAAAAACACTTTCTATAACATGCACTCAGCTCTCAGGATAAACAGCCCGTTGTTTGTGGCAAGGCTGGGAGCCTCCACTCGCTCCAGACACAGGAAGTTCACAGTGACTTACAGTCAGGATCCGCGGTGTGCCTGCCTTATTGACAACTTTCCAGTGAAGGTATCACTCTTACTATTATTTGCAACACATCCCCTTCCATTAGAGAGTAAAAAAGGAGGCTTTTAAATATTTCCAACGATAATTTTGGCTTCTCTACACCATGAAAGGTGAATTGAGTGGGAATTATTCTAGAATAACAATTTCATTGAAAATGGAAATTAGGGACTTCCTGGTGGCCCAGTGGTTAAGAATCCACCTTCCAATGCAGGGGACGCGGGTTCGATCCCTGGTCGGGGAGCTAAGATCCCACACGGGATCCCGTGGGGCGGGGCAACTAAGCCTGCGCACGGCACCTAAGACCCAACACAGGCTAATGAATAAATTAAAACTATGTAAAAAAAAAAAAAAAAGAAGAAAATGGAAAGGAAAAAAAACACTTCACCTTTTATCCCACTAGTCTGCCCTTCCCCCATATCTTCTTTACATCCATGCCCTCTGCTGTCAATAATACCCTCTTCCAAAAACTCATAGAGCTTACCTTTTTAGAAGACTCTGAACCTAACTTTTTTTTTTTTTTCTTGCGGTACACGGGCCTCTCACTGTTGTGGCCTCTCCCATTGCGGAGCACAGGCTCCGGACGCACAGGCTCAGCGGCCACGGCTCACGGGCCCAGCCGCTCCGCGGCATGTGGGATCTGCGCGGACCGGGGCACGAACCCGTGTCGCCTGCATCGGCAGGCGGACTCCCAACCACTGCGCCACCAGGGAAGCCCTGAACCTAACTTCTTAAGAGATGCTTATACGGAATAAGAAAAGACGGCGGGGGTTGGGGTGGGGGGGGAGAAAACAGATTCTCATGAAATTAGATTTAGCTCATTGCACTGGTTTCTAACTTGAGCCCAGTGTCTCCACACCATGTATTCTCATGCCACCCCTGTGGGGGGGGGTCACTGCTGCTATACCCCTTTTACAGGTGGGGAAACTGAGGTGCAGTGAACTGACCTGCCAAGGTCATCTAGCTTGCAGGTCAGCGGGGCGCTGGCTGGCTCCACCAGCCAGACCCGCCACTCTGAGAGCCGGCGCTGCCTTAAAAAGTAGCCAAACGGAGTAGGCGTGCTGGCCTCCTGTTTCTCAGGTGCTATCTTATTAGATTAAAAACAGATCCTAAAATACCCCTACCACTTCCAGATAAACTGTAGCTTTTAAAGACTAATAACTAGCCTTAACCTGAGATGTCGGCTTTATATAAAACTATATCCAAAAGGAAGAATTCTTGATATATTCTGGTGACACTGTGAGGAATAACGAACATTTCCATTGATGCCAAGCCAGATCTCAAAACTGTCTAACTCTGGTCTTTGGAATGCTCTGAAGTTGAAAACTACATCCGTCCACCACTATCATTTTAAGCCAATTAGGTTTTCTTATCATTTCTGCTTTGTTTGAAAAATTGCTGTGGGCCTCCTTCCTGTCTGCACACTATTTGATTCTTGAGTTTCTGGTTTCATCGGCTTCTAGTTTCTATTTGTTTGAGAGTTAAAGCTGTTCTCAGTCCTCCCTATAGATTTCTTGTGATACCTGAATTATCTTATTTTTCTCAAGAAAAAAAAAAAAGGTAGAAAGAAAAAGAAAAACATGACGGTTACCAGGCAGTGTCTACGTTCCCTTCAAATGCTTAAATATGTTCCTCACTTTTAAGGCTCTGGTTGAAAAAAACATTTGAAATTTTCCAAGGCTTCATTTTAATGAGCGATCGTGGGAACCCCTGCTCGCTGCTCTCTGCGCAGCCCTGTGCTCAGCGCTGCCCCTCTCCCTGCTCCGCCCCGGGGAGAACCATCCCGTACTGAACTGCTTCTGGGCGCACACGTGTGCAGCCGGGCACCAACGCATCTAGGAAACTGCTTGACTCACTCACTGGAAACTATATTCCACCAATTACCGTGGTGAGAAGTGACTGAACTAACAGGAAAACACCGTGGAACTCTAAAATCTACGTCCAACAGACTCCCAGGGGTCACCTGCTCCGGCCCCCCACCCCCCGACCTCACTGCAGGAGTCTCCTCTCAACCCAAGCGTCTGGCAGGTGGGCACCAGCCTCCAGCCCCCAGCTCCCCTCTCACAGCAGGGCCTCTCCGCACATCAGCTCCAGGTTTTAGAAAGTTCCTCCAGCCGTTTCCGGTCTTCTGTTCTAGCTCCAGCCCCACAAAAGACACAGAGAGACAGACAGACAGACAGACACATACTACTCCCGTCACCTTCTTCTGGATATGCCCCAGTTTCTCAACACGTTCGTTAAATGTAGACCATGGAGCTGAACACAACATTTGTTTTCTATTTGTACTCAAGTTTCACAAGTTAATAACCTAATGCTTAAAACAATACACAAGAATTGTACAAATTTATGACAACATAAAAAAGCACAAGGATAATAAGTTACTTATCATTTCAGCACCAAGAGACAGCAGCAGTAATAACATTTAGGTGACATTTTCCCAGATTTCTATGCATAGCTTTTTTTGATTTATTTTGTCTTAATTTGTTGTAGGTTTTATTGCTTCTTTTTCAAATGACGTCCTTTTTTTCAGTTGATTAAAGTCTGGCTGAAAGTTTCATTCTTGGGAGAGTCTCCCCTTCTCAAGTTATTTTTCTTTCAGTGTCACCAGCTCACTGGCTCTCACCTACTCCCCCAGCCCCTGGAGGTCGGCTTCTGGGGCAGCCGCAGAAGCCCCTCCCTCAGGCGTCCCCCGCCTTCTAGAAGGAGACCCATGCTCAGCAAACACGCCCAGAAGCTGCTTCTATTTGGGCTGAAGGTGTATGCAGTCGAGGTTCCGGTGGTCATGTCCCCAATCCTATTTCTTCTTCTTGCCTCTGTAAAGCACTTCACCATCGTTCTCAGGAAACACTCAGCTCTGCCTTCCTCAGGCTGGAGGGTCCTTGGCGGTGTCGGCAGCATCTCGCCCCCGCCCCCCAGTTCTTGCCACAGGGAGGTGCGTGGAGCCCGCGTGGACTTTCCCCTCAGCCCCTCCCTGTGAATGACGGACTGGCCGCCATCTCCTGCACGACACTGTTTCTATTCAGTTGTAAGAAAAGGCAAGATTGACCGTTACAAAACCATGAAAGCACTAAACAGCACAGAATCCCACCTTGAACCCGACGGAACGGAAGCCTACCTTCGGCGTTGAGGTGCATGGTCTCCAGGGGCCCAATGAACGCGTACCGCATGCCCAGGCCGTCCGACATGACGAGGTCAAGGTCGCCCGGGGACACTACTCCTTCCTAAGTGGAGAGAAGGGGCCGGCAAGGTGGTGAGTCCTCGGGAAAGACCGTTTCATTACCATCATTCTCATCCTGACTTCTCTAGAGCGCGATCCCAAAATTCTCTGCAAAGCACTACCACAGGTTTCATCAAACGCGGCATCACAGAACTGTAGGATACAAACGGATCCTGAAAGGAGAGTGTGCTGTGAAAGGGTCGAACCAATTTAATCTCCGGCCCCTCCACTGTCCCCCCTTCCCTAACCTACAACCCTCGTCCTGTCGGAAGCAAAGGGCGGAAGGCTTCTCTGCACGTCTGCCTGAGACCCGGGGCTGTCAGAAGAGCTAGAGAGCGTCCTCCAGGCTTCGTCCGCCTGCAAGCCCGGCCGCGCTCAGCTTTTGATGCGCACGTAAACAAGTGCTATTCTTTGATGCAAGGCAGCTTCGAGCAGTGAGTGTGTGTGTGTATGTGTGCGTGCTGCTCACACGGCCCTACCTTCCACGCGGTCGCCTGCGGAAGGTGCAGGGACGCGAGGTGATGACCCGCGCGGCCACCGGGAGAGGGAAGCGGCCCAGGCTGTCAGGGTGGCTGCGAAGTCTCCAGCTCTGTTTCCGGAGCGGTTACCTCCACGTGGAGAGGCCCCGCTTCGGGAACAGCGAGTCGGGGGTGGAGCAAGCCTGGACCCTCGGCCCCGGCGCCCTCCCTCCCTCCCTCCCCCGGGCCGGGGGCTCCACCGCCAAAGTCCAGGCCCCCAGGAGGACCGCGCGCCCCTCACCCCTGCGGCCCAGCTGCCGGGGGAGAAAACAGTCCCTCGGACCCCCGTGGGCGTCTGCGAGGATGGGGGTCCGGGGGCCCACGCAGGGCAGGGGTGATTCGGGGCGACTGAGGACCCTGGGTGAGAAGCCCTTTCCACGTGGCTGCACACACGTGCGCACGCGCGTGTGACAGGGACGCGCGGAGCCGCACGCGGAGCTGAGCGCGCGGCCCCTCCAGCACGCCCAGCCGGCTTCCTGACTCGCCCAGAGGCAAACATCCTGACTTTCGTAATAACCATTCCTTCCTCCACGTTCCTGAAACATGGAGTCTGCATTTTGCCTGTTTTCCATCTTCTTGGAGATGGATTCACAGTGCGTTCTTTTCTGACTTGTGTCTTTCACTCCACCTCACGCTTTCAAGATTCACCAGAGTCGTGTGTTGCTGTAGGCGCCCGTCCTCGCGGCTTCCTCATCCGTCCTACTGTTGGTAAACATCTGAGCTGTCGTCATTTCCACCGTAAACGACTGCAGAGCCGCGGCCTGGCGCGTCCTCCACTGGGAGCCGATGTGGCTGCACCCGTGTCGCTGTCCCCAGGTGGCGTGGACCCGGGGCTTCCTATTAGTTCTAAACTATCCTTGGGTTCATCTGACTGCTACTGAGAGCAAATCAACTCAGTTCACTCAGATACTCACCAGTCGCCCGCCCTCCCCTCCTGGTGGCAGAGCTGGGGGGGGGGGGCGGGGCATGGGCACCAGGAGGAAACACTGAACACAAGGCCCGTGGTGGTGCCGCCCTGAACCACCAAGAAACGACTGCTGGTCCGCAGGGTCCTGCCGCCTCTCTCCCTCTCTCTCAACGCGCCATGTCTTGGGCAAGAAGGGCATTCCCGCACCCAAGGCTCCCAAGGCTCGGGAGCGCCGTGAAAGGCAGCCACCCCCTGCCGACCCTCCCTCAGTCCTGGCCCCCAGGCCAACATTCCAACAGCCTCGAGTTTCCATTCCACCACCAAACTGGGAAGGATGCGGACCCGGAAGCCAGCCTGGGCCTGCGACGGTGTTTGCCTTGACTCTCTTCTCCCAAAATTGTGTTCAGTACTTTCAGAGCTGACTTCCAAAGGCTTCAAAATACCCACGCAGTGAGCCACCCAGAGTAATTAAATTTTGATTTGTAAGAATCGTGAGCGCTAACAGTGACCCGACCAATCAAAGCGTTAGAGGGCTTCTCCATCACCCGACGCCCTCACACTGGAGAGGACCTGCGCTTGCTTCACTCCTGCTTCATCCACGGAGGGCGGTCAGTTTTTGACCAGTTGCTATTCATGAGCTGAACAAGTTAGAAAAGAGAAAAAGTTTTAATATTTCCTCTTCCTAACTGCTTCTTTCTGCCCTATTTGAATTTTCTGAGGCAGATTTCTCTAAGCTTGAGTTTTTACCCAGAAGCTAAATCCAAAGAAAAGAAACGGCCATGAGAAATTCAGCCAAGATGCTCGCTGGTTAGGGTTGCATGTCACTGAGGCAGATGCCCAGGTTCATCCCTGCTGCACTCAGCACAGAACTAAGGCTTCGTGTTCGGGATATTCTGAAGGTCAAGTTGTGCTGTGAGCTCCGCTCCACCCAGAGCCCTAGTGCCACCTGTGGCCCAGATGTTAACATTATCAATAATAACTAAATAAATCCTTGCTATGGCATAAAAGGTGGGCCAAGCGCTTGAGATGAATGGATCTGGTGACGACTCCTTGGATAGAGACAGGAGCCCCGCAGCAGTTTGAGGATTGAAACCCCCTCATTCCAGTGTGCCTGGGGGGTCAGTATAGCTATCAGTACTTCCTCTATCTCGTGGTAAAATTCTCAAGTCACACGTAGAAAGAAAAGCCCCAAGTGGTTAAAATTTCCTAAATCTCAGACAGAGCAATGAACGCTATGATCACTGCTAGTTCAAAGGTGGTTTGCATCATGTCCTGAAGAACCACTGGATGAGGAGAGCCCAGCCAGAGTGGGCAGGAGCCCCTTTACTGAACACCTCCTGCCTCAACTCACCTCCTTTAGCTAAAGTCTAAGACCCTCCACAATCCACCAACACACACCCACGGCCTGGGCATACACTTTGCACCTGGCGTGTTCACAGGAGGTTCCCAGACTGCCGCCCACAAGCAAGGTGCAAACTTCAAGTGCAATGAAAGGTCTGGGATGTACCAGTCAGGGTCCCACCAGAGAGACAGAACCGCTCGGCTATAGATACGCCAAGAGATTTATGCCAAAGAATCAGCGTGTGGACACCGCCACATCTGAGATCCAGGGCGGGAGCCGCTGGTGGAGACCTCAGCTCTGCCCTTAAGGTTGTTCAACTGATTGGATGAAGTTTGCCCAGATTATTGAGAATAATCTCCTTACTCAAGTCAACTGACTGTAGCTGCTAATCGCATCTATAAAACATCTTCAGAGAAACACGGGCAAAGCCCGTGTGTGACTGAATGAGCGGCCCTCTGGCCCAGCGCAGCCGATCCTCGCAGGGGACAGAGTGAAGTTCAAAGCACGATCCTTACCCTCGGGCATCCTGGGTCTGGTACTTTGTGAGCAGGAGGAGGAGAATGGGAAGACACCACTAAAATAAGGACCGTGGTGCTCGGCCTGTCCTTTGGGGGTACGCGAAAGAAGGGGGAGGCGGCGGGGGTCTTGCGTAGCTCAGGGATGCAAAATCTGCTGAAGGGAGAGCCATGGGACTGTTTCCTCTACTGATGACCAGCTGCCCAGAAATATCCTTCCTTCTAATCACCCCCTTCTCATATTAAACTTTCTTGTTTGATGCACATATTTTTGGCATATGGCCTCACGGTCACTTGCTTTTCTCACGTTTCTCATGCCATCTTTCCTTGTCTGGTTCTTTTTTACTATTTCCCAGCTTTTGATCTTCTACTTTGTTTTGCTCTGCTTTTCACCACACCTGGTCCTGAATTTTCAAGTTTCTCTTGCGCAAACACTTCTCCACCTTGGCCGGCACCATCACCACGAGGAACAGACCTGCCTCCCAGGAATCTGGACGAGGTTATACACAAGTTCCCCCAACCAGAGCTGCGCAGGCTTCAATCCAATGTCTTAACTGAGACAAAAAAAGCTTTAGTGTGTCAGACGACGAAATGCAACATCCAGGGGCGTGAAGGAAGCCTGCGCTGGTCCAGCGTCACCCTCCCCCCGTCAGAGGCCCAGGAGAAGGGGTTACCGAGAAAGAGGCCACCTCAGGCTTAGTCCCCAATCCCCAGAGACGTTCAGTGTCAAGCCAGACGCCAGTGACCCCGGTGCAGAGATAGTCAAGCCCGAGTCGGGGCACTGGACTCTTTGGAAAGTCCATCCCTGCAGCCCTTATGAACAAACGGCACAGAGTAATAACGTAGTTACTGGTCACGGAGTTTAAACTAAGTACTATCACGATGATGAGGGGTCGGGTTTTTCTCACAAGAAACCAGCTAGAACCATGAGTTAGTTCCTTCCACTCACGTACGCCTGCATGCCTTTGTTTCCTACACTCTTCGCTAAGCACTGTGTCTCCCACACACAATATGAAAACTGGCTCCGGAGCAAGTGACGAAGCCCTGATCCACCCGTCCCCACCCACACTTCCTTCCAGGGAAAAGGCGAGGCAAGGACAGGACTTTCATAGGTGAAAAAGGGGAGACTGCTAAGTGCTGCCCCGCTGTCATCCAGAGGCTGTCGGGTCTGTGAGCCGCTCAGCACCCTGTGTTTTCCTGGAAGCGGGGCGGGGCCATTCCTGCGGGATGACACAGGCAAACCGTGCGACCCTGGAGAAGAGCTGACTGAACACATTTAGCTGATGCAACAGGACACTGACTCATACGCATTAAACCCCCGCATCCAGCGCCTCAGAGGGGACGCGGGGCAAGGAGACGAGAGCTCGTGGTGGACGGTCCCGGCCAGGCCACTGGGAAGTGAGGGGCAGACGGGGCCGCATCCTCGGCAGGCGTCCGGCCCGAGGGGCGATCCCACTGCCCGAATTGTTCTGGGAGAAGAAGGCGCCAGAGGAGACCGTGTGTGCAAAGAGGCATCGTACGGCAGAAAACTTGAAATGACCTTAAAACAACCCACAGCAGGCGAACGATTAGATTTTTTCAAAAGGATCAGTGGAATGAAATCTCATGAAGCCATTAGAAATGAATAAAAAGTCGAGGAAAGTATTCTTCTTTGTGTGTGTGTGGTACGCAGGCCTCTCACTGCTGTGGCCTCCCCCGTTGCGGAGCACAGGCTCCGGATGC